TTAAGGCCCACGACCGGACCAAAAAAAAAAAAATCAAATGGCTAGAACTGGGATTAGGAGCCAAAGTCAGTACCTGGATCATATTGCAACCTGTTTTAATATAGAAATAGTGACAAACCTTCCTGCCATGGATATTTAACCTCATGAAAGTGCAGGGAGGCATTAGTTCTATTTGAGTTTTGAAAACAAGCAAGTTTTTCATTGCAAAGTGTTTATATCAAAGGCTGGTGGATTCAATATTAGTAGAGAAAATGTCATATATTGTAGCAGTCTTCAGATCTCAGCTTCCTTAGTAGCTAGGACTCTAATTGAGTGCCCAGTTGTGCTATCAGTTTTGATGTGATTGTTACATACACTGAGCATTTTGTTTCAGAAGAGATGTTCAATTGAAGCCTTTGAAAGGAAATACTTACTTGTCTTGCTGTAAATTTTAAATAAGATAAGCTCTTAGTTAAAATTAAGTTGGTGAGTAAATCTTTTATCTTTTCCTTCTTTCTAAAAAGCATTCACAGCCCTCATGGAGGGCAAAATGAATAAGCAGCTGAAGAAAGTTTTGAAGAAAATTGTAAAAGAAGCCCATGAACCTCTAGCAGTGGCTGATGCTAAACTGGGAGGGGTTATAAAGGTAAAATCTGGGGCTGTGGATATTCAATGGTAAAAGTTAATTCTTTTATTATTATATGCTTATTAGTGAGATCTCATACAGCAAAGTAACTACAAATCTCAACCTTTACAATTTGTCTAAAGTCCTCACTTATACTTGGTCTTTGTTCGACTAAGCCATTAATAATCAATTCACACCAGAATTGGCAGAACCAAGCACATATAGATGTGTGTAGAAAACAGATGAACAAAGACATAAAAATTACCTTTAACCCTGTTCCTTATATAATCTGCTAATACTGTGTATTTTCTGCCATAATTTTAGCCATATTTTTCTTTTAGTAAAGATGTATTTATAGAGAGTATAATATTACATATCTATCTGGGACTATTTAAGGAATACTAATATTTATCTGTAGGTAAAGGACCTAAGGATTGGGACTTTTGAGTAAAGTCTTTTAGTGTGTTAAATTACCCTTAGTTACAATATTACATAATGTGACGTAGCAGAAGCCCCTCTCAGTCTAGCTCACAGAAGTAAAATTAGGTGAAATTTGGTATTCATGTTGTTTTTTGCTTCTAGGAAGGTTTCAGATTTGACTTACAGCAACAATGTACCTAAGTTGTTTTTTTTGTTTCTGTTTTTTTTGTTGTTGTTGTTTTTCTATTGATTCTTTTGTGTGTGTGTGTGCTGGTGTTGGGACTTGAATTCAGGATCATGGCACTGCCCTTGCTGCTTTTTTGTTCAAGGCTAGCACTCTACCACTTGAGCTACAATGCCACTTCCAGTCTTTTCTGTTTATGTGGTACTAAGGAATCGAACCCAGGTCTTCATGTGTGCCAGGCAAGCACTCAACCACTAAACCACATTCCCATCCCCTGAGCTTCTTTTGCTCAAGGCTAGCACTCTAACACTTGAGCCATAGCTCTACTTCTGAAAATTTTTTTTGTGCTATTAACTGGAAATATGACTCTCACAGACTTTTCCTGCCTGGCCTGGCTTTGACCGGGGATTTTAAGATCTCAGCTTCCACCTGGCGCTTGTGGCTCACACCTATAATCCTAGCTCCTCAGAAGACTTGAGATCTGAGCATCACTGTTCAAAGCCAGCCCAGGCAGGAAAGTCCGCAAGACTATTATCCAATAAGCGATTAGAAAACTGGAAGTAGCATTGTGACTCAAGTGGTAGAGCACTTGCCTTATCTGAAAAACTGAGGGAGAGCTCCCAGGCCCAGAAGTTCAAGCCCCACTACCAACAACAACAAAAAAATCTCAACCTCTTGAGTAGCTAGTAGCTAGGATTATAGGCCATGCCAGACTTATCTGTTTTATTTTTTACTTTTGTTTATTTGCTTATTTTTTTGTTGGTCATTTTTTGTTTTTGGAGACTTTTATCTCCAATAAACCACTAGAAACCTGGAAGTGGTGCTGTGGCTCAAGTGGTAGAGCACTCACCTTGAGCTGAAGATTACATGGACAGCGCCCAAGCCCAGAGTTCAAGCCCACGACTGCCCCCACCCCCACCCCCCCAAAAAAAGAGTCTTCTAGACTCCTCCAGGGGCTGGCTTTAAACCATGATCCATCCTCAGCTTTCAGTCTCCTGAGTAGCTAAGATTACAGGCGTGAGCCACTGGCACGGGCCTCTTAAGTTTTTTTTTTTTTTTAATTCATATTTAAGTAGTTGTACAAAGAAGTTTCACATGTCAGGTTATGAGTACAGTGCAGCTTGATCAGTGGCACTCATTCTATCATTCTTCCCCGTATTCTTCTCCTATCCCTATCCTTGTTGCATAGTTCAGTTTCTAAGTGTTCTTTATTTTTATTTTTTTGGGGGGGTCCGGTTGTGGGGCCTGAACTCTGGGCCTGGGCGCTGTCCCTCAGCTCTTCAGCTCAAGGCTAGCGCTCTACCACTTGAGCCACAGCGCCACTTC